GAATTTATGAAACTTATGCTTTAGGCACGGAGTTGATCCTGCGCAGGATTTTATGTCTGGACAGTGACCATGTAAAAATGTGTCCCCAACTTGTAGGAGAATCTGGCTGCTTTCTCACAGACTGTCCATCTCTAGCTGGGGATGGTCATTGGTAATGGAAGAAAGATCTGTAGATCTGGTGTGGTTTATTTTGTAGGATAAGAGATTCTGGCCTGAAACTTTTCAACCCATGTCCATAGTTGGTGATCTCCAGAAAGCAGGTCATCTTCTTGGTGTTTCCTTCCAGCTGGTGGCACAGTTGGAGCTGAGTAATCTTACCCATAGGAAAAGAAAAGAAAACAGTTCATGTAATTTAATCAGTATGCAGTGTTGCAGAATTATTGACAGAGAAAACCATACACGGAATAAAAGACAATGAGACTTGTTATTAAAATGAACAGCAGACGGCATCAAAATTTTCTCATACTGAATTCTGCCTCAAGCAAATGTAAACTTTGCAGTAAAGTTAAATAAAATATATGAATCAAATAAATGTATCAGTGATAGGCATCAAAGCTACTCTATTCAATTGATGGGTTGAAACCCACAGCAGGTTTTTAGGCAAACATCAAAGCATATGCACATCTCTGAACAGTACAAATTAGACTTAATCTCAGCTTGGAATATGTGCTAACATTAGAGGTTTTTATTTTTCTTTTCTTTTCACTTAGGGCCAGACAACAGAGGCAAGACACCGGCACAGTTCTGCCAAAATTAAACACTTGTGAACAAATATCTTTGACTTTAAATCTGTGCTTAAAACTTTCCCACTGAAATCAATAGGACCAAAAAAAAAAAAAAAGTGTGCTCAATATGTTTTGAGTCATTTATTTATTTATTTGGCTTGATTTGCCAGATGCTTTTCTAATGTTAGGAAAGAACATTATGAAAAGTAGATCAGTTGTGTTGATGGAAAGGACACAGATGTAAACCAAATCTTTGCCAAGGCACTCATCTTTATGGTTATTTTGTACAATGAAGGGGATCAAGTTTTTATATGGATGTTGAGGTTTAATGAAGCACAGTAGGTATTATAAACTTTAAAAAATAGGTGCTAGGACAGGTAGCCCCCCCCCCCATCTCCGGGGAAATCTCTCCAGCAATAGAGTTTAAGGGTGTGGAGGGGGCAGGGAATGGCCTTGAAGGATAGGAGGAAGAACTGCGACCAAGGCACAGACATATGGCTTGAGCTCAGTCTAAAGAAACTAACTTTTGAGTAAACTTCATGTTTTCTTACTTTGAATCTTTGACTTAATTTCTTTGCCATCACATGGAAAAGTAACCAAATTAAGTAAATTAAGAACTTGCACCCAGTATTTTTGTGCAAATGGAAGAAGTTGTAGTTACCGATATACCAAAAGTCTATCTACCTCTGGGTCACTGAAGTAGAAGCTTTAATGCTTGGGCACAAATAGTAGTAATTTCTTTTCCAAAATGTATTCTATGGGCTTCTCTGAGCTAGTGTATTATAGGGCTGTATCAACAATTAAAGTGGAATAATTTGTGGTTTTCTAGAGCTCAGCAGTTTCTCTTATGGCTTGATGACAAGATAAAAGTCTGTTTTTCTTCTCTCTTCTAGCTTAGTTCCAATTCCTAAGCTGCCAAAAGGTCTGCATATTATCATTAAATATTGCTGAGTTGATATCCAATAGCTGTCCAGCAAATTTGTGGGAACACCCAAATAACTCATGATTGCCTATGAATAACTGATGGTATCAAATAACATTAGTCTCAGCAGAACCTTTCACAAACTGCCTTTCACAGAATAGTTTATTGTGTCTCAAGAAATGAAAAAAAAAAAACTTTTTTCAGCTTCTATTCCCCCCACCTCAATAGAGTTATAATGTTAGCTTTTCATTCTTTCAAAAAAAAAAATGCTATAATTTCTAGTGTCACAGAGCAGACATCTGTTTCATCTTTGTACACTGTGTGTCTCTGTGCTGGAGAGAGACAGAATAATAAAGATAAAAACTGGCTGTGCGGGTAGGAATTGGATGAAATAAAAAGCAAAGTAAAAAAATCTGAAATAGAGGGGCTGGGGCTCAATACTTTAATTAGAATTCTCTATATATTTTATTTGATTTTGTGTATTTTTTCATTGTTTTTAAATCTGAGAATACTTGAAGGATGGCTAAGAATTAGATAAAATTGATAAATCACCCTGGGGAAGCTAGGAATTGGTTTGAGCGAGTCAGAGTGCCTTCCCCAGTATGTGAGTTTGATCCCAGAGGTAAGATTTGGGAAGGATTATGAGCTATCACCATCTTAGTTTCTATCGCAAACATGATATATTTCAACATCGCACATACTAAATAAAATAGGAACAACCCTATCGACGTGGTGGAATCTGGCAGTCCAACAACATACCTTGTGGATAACGCTGAGGCCAAAGAAAGCGAACTGAAATATGCCACAAGTAGAAAGCAGGAACTTGATAAGCGTGTAGAGCAGATGGTTCCAGATGACAGGAGTAATGAGGCAATATTATGTCTAACCATCTGCCTGCCGATGGCCTGAGCCAAGAGCCTACGCGTTGCACAAAGTCCTGATGAGATCCCTGACAACAGGGATGTAGTAGGATAACTCCATATGTCCCACCCTCAGTTCCTTGGCAGAACGGAATGGGACACATATATAACAATGATGAAGCCTGCATTTAAGCCAGGGAAGCTGTTTTAAGACAACATGAAGATTTTTTAGAAGTATATTAAAAATTATCCACCAAAGCCCGTGAGATAAGGCCCTGCGCCAAGGTAGGCTGAATATTTGAATAAAGGACGTTTCACACATCATCCAAGTGTGTTCTTCCCACCCATTCCACACATTTAGCTTACGCAAAGGTTGGATGATTATATACAAGAGAACATTCAAGTCTTTTCAACCCCAGGTCAATGAGGAGATTTTGACAAGTTCAGCTTTTCATGTCACAGTGCTACAAATGCACACTGAAAAAGGTACATTGATCAAAGTCTCGTCTTCAGTGCAATAATTAAAGGTATTGCAACCCCCCCTCCCCATCTCTTTATTCTGTGTGCAAGTATCCACAGAGGGACAGTGACAGACTCCTTATCTTCCCTGCAATTGGCCTGCAACAGAGAAAAGTTGCCAGTAAGACCTCCTTCCCTTCCTCCCTTCCTCCCTTCCTCCTTCCTCCCTTCCTCCCTTCCTCCCTTCC